ACTTTAATACCGTGATAGGAGGTAGGGTGAGAGATCCTTACTTGTTTCGGGGTCTGAAATCGGCTCTATGGTGTGCCTATGGGCTGTTCCTAAATTCCCTGAATTTTTTCTGAAAAACTGAAACGCACTACCGGTACCGGCACGTGTCCTAAAAAATTCTCAATCAGACCTAGGGCCCCTTTCGGCCAATATCAAAATTCCGGCACGGCGACGGCGTTGTCGCCTGCGGCGGAGACCCGCCTCGGGTTGGCCGTTTTCGGTCGAATTTGGCCAAACTTGCATTGGTCCCTGCGATAAAACAACCCTAGTGCCCTCGGTGGGCCAAAAAATTACGAAAAACTGAGACTTACTGGCGGCAAAGCTCTCGGGTGCGGCGGCTTCTCCAATGCGAGTCGCGTTTTGATATTTTGCTCCGGTCAACCTTTAGAGAAAAGGACGGTGATCACAGTGGTATAAAAATTGCATCGAACGGAGACCCGGAAGGGCATCATCGAAGGCAAAAATAGAGGGAAGTCGCGGCGGCGCTGCTGAACTTCAGCAGTATTTTTCGGCCGATTGGCCGGTGGTTTGGCTTCGATTTGGCCATAGGCGGATTCAGCATCGAAAAATGAGCCAAGAGGAGAAAATTTACCTCGTTTGGTGATTGAAAAATTTTCTGGTGCGGCGGCGGGTGGCGGTGGCCGGCTCCTCTGGCGTCTGGTTCTTTTTCTCCAACAAGGCACTGGCGGCTAGGGTTTGTGGTCGGGTGTGGGTGGGATTATTTATACCCTTCCCCTTTTAATCTCAACCGTCCATCAAGATTTAATCTGGATCGTCCGATTGCGATTTATTTAAGATTAAATCTGGACCGTCCATCGCGATGCGATCTGAGCCGTCCATGCCTGATTGAATCTGGATCGTTCGTACGCGTGAGATCTGGGCCGTCCGTGCGCACATTTGATCTAGGCCGTCCATGCGCGTGGGAACGGATCTGGGTCGTCCGATCGCGCGCACGCGGATCGCCCCCGTGGCCAGTCCCGTGTCAGTGTTCCTTGCCACGCGGCGTGTCCTAGTTGGCCGGAGCTGCTGATTGGGCTGCTGACGTGGCACAATTTTTTAAAATTACGTTTTGACCCCCAGTTTCTGATTTTCTTTTCAAAAACACCAACAGAATCCAAAATTTCACCCATTTTTCCCAAAATCAATTTCAATTAAATCCAAAAAATAATTTTACCCTATTTTATCATTATTATTATTTTTATTTTTATTAAATTAAATTAAATTAAATTGAATTAAAATCTTATAAATTAAATATATAAAAAAATTAAACTAAAATTCAAATACGAAAATAAAAATAATAATTTGGGTGTTACAATAAATATATAACAAATAAATAATTATGTATATATGAAATATATATATCACAGATATCATAAATAGAGGATTATAAATATATGAATCACAAATAAAAGATTACAAATATATAAAGAATAAATATATTACAGTCAAAAGATTATAAATATATAAAAAATAGATATGTAACAGATAAATAATTATGTATATATAAATATAAATATATCACAGATAAACAATTATGTATATATGAAATATTTATATCACAGATATCATAAATAGAGAATTATAAATATATAAATCACAGATAAAAGATTACAAATATATGAAGAATAAATAGATCACAGATAAAAGATTATAAATATATAAAAAATAGATATGTAACAGATAGATAATTATGTATATATGAATATAAATATATTATAGATATCATATATAAATGATTATAGATATATGAATCACAGATATATCAAAGATAAAAAATTATAAATATATCATAAAAAATTACAGCTATATAAAAATTAGATACACTATAAATAAAGGATTGTAGATATACAAAGAATAGATATGTAACGACCCAAAACTTAAACGGAAATAAAATCATAAATTAAATGCGAAAACAAAATAATAGAGTTAAAATTTATATTCCTTACATAATAATTTAAAATACCCAATAGGGTTATGAGAATATCCCTTATAAAAGAATGAAAATCAAATAAATAAATGAAAAATAAAGAACTGAGCATCCTAGGACGACCTTCACTAACTTTTGAAGGAGTCCGAGTGGTGAACTATTCACAACCCAATTATTGATCGGGATCTAGGTTTTGATTCCTTTGATCTGAAATAATTAATAAATGGGTGAACTATACTAATTCAGTAAAAATATCACACTACTCACCGATACAGAAGATGAAGATTGGTAAAAATTATAAAAATAACTAATGAAACTCTTAATTTAAGTAAATTCATTTATCATAAGTAAAATCATTTATTACATACTTACCGTTGCGAAATTTTCAAGACCAATCTATAGAGACAATAATTCAAATACCATTTCAATCTCATTTTCGAGTAAGCAAGAATAACAAATTTTCGTTTTTATTTGGCTACTGGTATTCATGTGGGTCTATAGGGATGTCTCACTACGCGTGAATCATTATTCAACATTGTCAACTAACAGGCCGTCCTCAAACCCTGTCCGATATGAGCACAAAAAATTACCAATCCTCAATACCCCATTTGGAATGAGGCAACGTTCACGGTAGAGTTCCCTATGTACTCAGTCCATCCACCATCTTTTAGGATATCCAGTAAGGCTACCATTCATTCATTCACTTAACCAATCAATTTTTTGTTTACATTTAATTTTTAGTTTTACAATTTAACGATAAATCAAGGCAAGACAAACAATACATGCATTAAGGAAATACAACTGAATTATTTTACTAATTCCAGTATGTTATCATGCATTTAAAGCTGTAAAATCAAACAATCGGTTAAACAGAATAAACAATAATAAGTAATTGGTTCTGCCTCCATTAGTAACCTGTAATTAATTCTTGAAGTTTCCTAAATTATGCAAAAACTGTATTATTGATAATTAAACTTCAATTCTATAACAAAAAAATAAGGTGAGAGATTCTTACCCAAATCGGTGTCCAAAACACTGAATTTTTAATTGCGCCTACTAGCGGCACCTAGGTTTCCTGAATTTTTCTGCGGAGGTTAAAACACACTTCACGTACCTAAAAATATCCCAAAAAATCCAAAATCAGTGTAAAAACTTTTTCCGACTAATTTTGGAATTCTGGCACGGCGACACCCGCCATGCTCACGACGATGGCACTGTTGCCCGCGATAGGTGGTTTGCCTCGGCCTAGCCATTTTTGGCTAGTTTTGGCCAATTTCGACCAGTTTTATACCAATCTATACGAGAAAATAAGTTAGGGGACCTTGGTTGGCTTAAAAAAAATTTGAAAAACAAAACTTACCAGAAGCGAGATTTTCTGGTGTGGCGGCTCTGCCGGCTCACTTTCGCGGCTGAGTGTTTTTCTTCAGTCAAAATATAGAAAATAAAATGATGAACACAATGGTAGAAATATCGCACGAATGGAAAATGAGAAGGGACTCATCGGAGGCGATTTTTTATTTTTTCAGCGGCGGCGCCGCTGGCCTTTACCCGCGGTTTCTGGATCATCCGCCATTCATTTTGCTCTAATTTGGCCATGAGGTATTCAAGATAAAATTCTGAGTCAATAGGAGAATTTTTACCTTTTTTGGCAATCAAATGTGACTCCGGCGCGGCGGCAGTCAGCTCCATTCTCCAGCGACTGGTTCTTCATCTCCAGCGTGAGGCTGGTGGCTAAGGTTTGGGTTCTGTGTGAAGTGAGATATTTATATATATCTCCCTTAAATATGAGTCGTTCATCATATTTGATCTCGACCGTCTGATCGCATTTAAAGAGAAAATAAATCTGAATCGTTCATCACGATTTGATCTCGACTGTACGATTGCGTTTAAAGAGGTCACGAATCTAGATCATTCATCGCGTTTAATTGCGACCTTCCGATTGTACCTTAGGAGGAAATGGATCTGGATCGTCCACGCGCGCGGGAACGCATCTAGGTCGTCCGATCACGAGCACGCAGATTATTAGTGTGGCCTCTCGCATGACACTGAGTAAGCGTGCCTTGCCACGCAGCGCGCTTCAGTTCGTTGAGGCTGCTGATTGGGTCATCCTACGTGACACATTTTTTTCTTAATTGCGTTTTGATATTCAATTTCTGATTTTTCTTTCAAAAATATCTTCCGAACCTAAATTTTTACATATTTTTTTCTAAAATTATTTTCAATTTCATTAATCATCTATTTTTTTTCCTTAATTTTATATTAAATAAAAATTTATAAATTTAACTATTATATTTTTATATATTTTTTTAATTTTAAAATTAATTTTGAACTAAATTTCGGATCCGAATATTATAAAATATATCACAGATAAAAATATTATGTATATATGAAAAAATATATATATATTATAGATAAACTATTACAAAAATGCATAAAAAAATAGATATATCATAAATAAAGAATTATAAATATATCAATCATAAAAAATAATAATAAACAAAAACAAAGAGAATAGATATACGGAGAGAGGGTAGGGAGATAAAATGATTTTGTCCATTATCTTCTATTATATAATGCTCTGGTTTCAACTTATTATGTCATGAGCATATAATCTACACACCCAGCATATTATGTCATCAATATTAAATATTTTCTAAAAATTTAAATAATTTATTTTGATTTAATAATTTTATTTATTTTATTCAATATAAATGTTAACTTAGATTATTATATCTAATTCCAAATAAACATTATATAAATAATGATTTTTTATTTTCAACTTTTGATTTCACATTTATCGAAAATCAAATAGAATTTCTATTTTTACTAAAAGTACTTTATTTTTAAATTTCTAATTAGATTTCAGATTTTTGACAGTAGAAGAAGAAATAAAAATCTGTAATTCTGGAAAATATTTTATTCTAATGTTTTATCACTAAATAGAAAATAATTTTTAAATGTAATTTTCCTAAAATGTAACCTTCTCTTAAGACAAAAAGCAAACCGTGACAAACACCAAGAGGCGCACCATACAGAGTCCATACAAACTCATCTTATCCTCCTCCTTTCTGGACACAATCTTCCCACATCACCTCCTTCCTTGTCTCTCTGATTTAACAGACTTCCAAACTCGTCTCCACCACCCCCGAAAACCAACAATGGCTGCAGCAGCAGCAGTGGGCTCAGCTTTCTCCACATCTCTTCACGCACTCAAATCCCTGCGTTCAAACAAGCTCCAATACCCATTTGATCATTCCCTTCTCAGACTAACCCCACCTTCACCTCTCCCTTTAACATCTTCATGTGCCATCGAACCACTCATTTCGTGTGCCGGTCTTCCCCACAAGTTGCGTCTGCTCAAAACATCGGCGGCTGTTGCGCAGGAAGAGGCGGCTGCTCCCGCCTCCGTGGAGGAAGGAGATGCGGATGCTGGTAATCAGGCTGAGAGCAGCAGTGAAGGTCCTGTTAACACTAAACTTTACTTTGGGAACTTACCTTACAATGTCGACAGTGCAATGCTAGCTGGGATCATACAAGACTATGGTAGCCCGGAGCTTGTTGAGGTATATTCATGGGCTGTGCTAATCGTATATACATTTCTACTCTCTTTTCTTTTGAACTGAAATGTTTTTATGTGTTTGTCAACTTCTAGCTATATATAGAATGTACAATTGTGGAGTTGATCGTGTTTCTAATAATGTTAAGTGGCAGCTTTTAGATCCTATCTTTTGAAAGATTAATCGATGAAGATTTCGGTAAAGAGTTGTGATTAATGAATGACAAGAAGGAGAAGAAGAGGTTACTTGATGGGTCATATGCCTCAATTAGCAAGTAGGGCATTCCACAAATTGATCAGAAAAGATCATATGATTTTATTTTTAAGCTATAGTTTACCATGATAGCAAATTGTGATGATGGTTTTTGTTGCTTTTGTTGGCATTTGGTTGCAAGATCTTTGGAAAACAACCTATTGCAAAGTACCTTTAGCAAAAAACTTTCTGAAAAACATGAAGTATTTCTATCAAATATTTCCATTATCTCTGTGCCTAAAACTATTCAAGATGCACTAAGTAACCGGGATTGGAGCTTAGCAATTAAGGAGGATATGGACCGCTCAAGAAAAGTGGAACTTGGGAAATTGTTGATTTACCAAGAGATAAGGACTGTTGGCTGTAAGTAGATTTTTACGTAAAATGCAAGGCTGACGGGAGTACTGTAGCAAAAGGGTTCACTCTAATCTTTGGGATAGACTACTAAGAAATATTTGCTCTGGTGACCAAGATCAACTTTATTCGATTTCTTCTCTCTGTAGTAGTGGAAAGAAATTAGTCTTCATATTAGTTTGATGTAAAGAATATCTTTTTAAACAGCAACCATAAAGAGGAGGTATTTATGAATCTTCCACCAAGATTTAAAAATGTCTTGGGAAAAAAAAAAAATTACATCAAAAAATTTCTGGTTTGAAAAATTCAATAAGGTAGTGGAAGGATATGGATATAGTCAAGGTGACCATACCATGTTCTATAAACATTTAAGATCACACGTAAGTTGGTCATGCTTATTAATCATATGGATGATATGATCCTCTAGGAGAAGATTTTCAAGAAATTGAAACCCTAAAGAAACTAGTTGGGAACTTTGAGATTAAAAAATTGGAAATTTTGAAATACTTCCTTAGCATAGAGTTTGCTAAATCCAATGAAGGAATCTTTGTAAATCAAAGCAAGTATATTCTTGACCTACTTAATGAAACCAGTATGCTTAGATGCAATGCAGCCAAAACTCTAATTGAATCCACATGAAACTACAAGTTACACAAAGGATGTTGTGAATAAAGAACAGTATTAAAGACTTGTAGATAGACTAGTCTATCTATCACATACTCGATTAGACATTACCTTTGTAATAAGAATGGTAAGTCAATTTATGCATTCTCTAAGCCAAAAAAATTTTTGAACCAGTCTATAGAATCCTTAAGTACATAAAGGGAATTCCTGATAAAGGATTATTCTTTAGGAATCACAATCACCTACAGATGGAGGCTTATATAGATGCAAGCTAGACAAGAAGTGTCTCTAATAGAAGATCAAAATCAGGATACTCTACCTTTGTGGGAGGAAGGACGTGGAGGAGTAAAAAAAAAAACAAAATGTGGTAGCCAGAAATAGTGCTGAGGCTGGATACAGATCTGTTGTCCGTAGAATTTGTGAAGTTTTATGGTTAAAGAAACGTCTTGAAGAATTAAAGATTTCTACTCACTACTGATTAAGGTGTATGCCTTAGATTTCATCTATCAATCAAGTGTCAGATATTCTGATTAAAGGGTTTCATAAGAAATAGTTTGACAGTTTAGTTTCAAGTTGGAAAGAGAAGATGTTTTCATGCCAACTTGAGGGGAAATGTTAAAATATTATGTTTAGATTCTTAATATTTATTTTCCAACTCTAATAATATTTCTGTAATTCATAGGAAATAATTGGCTAGGAAGATTTGTAGGATCCTTTGTGTAATTAGTTTCCATTTGTATCTCCTCATACTATAAGTAGGAGACTTTGTAATGTGTGAAAAAAATAAAAATCTTTTCCTCTCAATATACACATATAATATATTACTTTTATTCTATTATCATTAATTTGTCTGATATTCACAGCCATTGTTACTTAAGGCAATTCTGTTTGTATTTTATTGATTGTTTTAGGTTCTTTATGATAGAGAAACTGGAAGAAGCAGAGGTTTTGCATTTGTGACAATGAGCAGTATTGAAGATTGCAACACAGTTATTGAAAATCTTGATGGAAGTGTAAGATCCCTCTTCCTACTTTTTGTCCTTGATTCTCTTTTGCACCTGTGCATTTCTATCTAAAGTCAAAGGATATAATGATTGAACCATTTGATTAACCAATGTATATATAATATATCAAATGATGTGATGATCAAACATGCTTTCTTTTGGTTGCATAAAATGTGATACGTGCACGCCCAAATCCAGTTCTAAAAGGTACTCTCACAATTTCAGGAATATTTAGGTCGAACTCTGCGGGTAAACTTCTCCGACAAGCCTAGACCAAGACAACCTTCGTATCCTGAAACTGACTATAAACTTTTTGTTGGGAATTTATCTTGGTCAGTCACATCCGAAAGCTTGACAAAAGCTTTTCAAGAATATGGAAATGTAGTTGGAGCACGGGTTCTGTACAATGGGGAGACAGGAAGGTCGCGTGGCTATGGTTTTGTGTGCTACTCAACCAAATCAGAGATGGAAGCTGCTCTTCAATCTCTTAATGGAGTGGTAAACATTCTGTCTTGTTTTCTCTCTTTTTGTGCATTCTTCTACTCTTGTAGGAATTCAATTCATTGTAGGTCTCTTATAAACCTCTGATAAACATTGGTTGCAATATTAGGAACTTGAAGGACGGGTAATGCGTGTAAGCCTGGCTGAAGGGAAAAAATCATAGGATCTTCTAGTTTGAAAATGTAACATTGAAGAGAAAGAAAGTCAAGCTATATGGTGTAACTGAGTTTGACAATGAATGACTTATTCATTTCGTATGATGTATATAATCAGGAAAATTCTTTGCATTTGTATCTATCACAGGTACACCAGACAGTGTAACACTTGAGAAACTAGTATTTGCTTGCAAAAGCTTATAAAGTCCCGACATATAGGCAAATGTAAGCGAAAGTTTTATAAAAATTTCCATAGTGGAAAAAATTTAAGGAAAGCTTCCAGACTGCACATTTGGTAAGTTAATTTATTAGATTTAAGCCAGCTCTTCTTATCAAAGAACAGTCTCATATTCTATTTTGTTATATGTATAGAGACTTGATAGAACTGCAAGCCATATGTAAATTTCAAATGAACTCCATGAAACTCCTCTTGCAAATGCTCTAAGACCCTCAGAACCCTTCCAAAGGCTCTGTAGCTAATTTGCTTGCCACCCAGCAAATCATTTATGTTCATGTTGGTTTTTTAACTGGGTGACGAAAGAAGTTGTTGACTAGGCTCACTAAGCTGGCTGGAACTCTCATATTTGGTATGAGGGTGTTTTGCTTACATTATTTTCTGAGAGCTTATAATCTGTAACTACGCTAACACTATTCCTTTAATAAACTGTTTAAGTTTTTAATGGTACGGAGTTATAAACTGTATTAGTTTATTTATATATGTGGTAATAATGGAGTGTAATGACAGATTTGGCATTTAAAAATAAAAAAAATAGAAACTTCGAGCAATATTGATTTGGTATTATTCTTGATTCAATAATAAACTTGTTTTATATCGAACAAGATATATTTCTTAATAAGTTTATACTTAATTTAAATTTTAAAGAAA